GACAATCTGGCATCAAGTAAGGCACCGGAAAAAACAACAGCAGAAACAGCCCTTTCGACCCTTCAAAGTCCTCCTCACTAACATCTGAGTGTTAGAGCCAAAATCGGCACAGCTGTCTCACAGAGTCTGACGCTGTCATACTCAAGAAATCATACCTTACAAAGTCCCAATTACCACCACCACCACCACCACCCCAGTTACCATTCAACATCTACCACCTGCTTGAGCATAAGGTCTTTTCCAGATTTGCTGGAATCAATTCCCAGGTACTAACTTTGTTACTAATCATCTTCTGCTATCTATTTATACATAATGCTCTTCCCTGGTGACAATGTGGCTACAGAACCTTGATCAGGAACCAACCTGCAATTAGGATCCAGGCCTGGCCTCACAAATAAGCAAAAGCTTGTTTGATCTGTTTTTGTTTTAATACCACTGCTATCACAGTCCAAATGTCATCTTTAGCTCATGGGCCCTAATTCACAGTTCCCAATCAAAATTAAGAAGATAAAAATAATATAAAATCTGTGAGGGCTGTAATCACATCCTGGCTCCAGCTCATCTGGAAGCATCCTCCCCTTCTGGTTGAACATACAGCAGTGTAAACAGCGCTTACAATGAGTATCAGTTTTAGAAAGTGCAATATTCCTTTCCGTACTCCTTGGTTTTTAAAACTGTCATTTCCCATTTCAGTCCACAACCAAAAATACAGAAAAACAAAAAGATATCGTCTTTACATCATTTCCTGGCAATTCTTTGGCGTGAATGTTGCTTGATATTGTCATCCCAAAAGCCTAGATATTGTACAGATCTTGGTACTGACTGTTTCAGTGTCTGAGGAGTCACAATTAGTGCTGAGAATAGTGCAATCATCAGCAAAATTCTCACCTTATCTTTGGAAGAAAATTATTTATGAAGCAGCTGAAGGTGGTTGAGCCTAGGACTTTAGGTGTGTCGTAACATTTCTGAATAGGTTGATTAGAAAATATATAACCTGAGGAACTCCTGCAGAGATGTTCTGGAGCTGAGATGATTGACCTCCAAAAACCACAACCATTTTCCTTTGTGCCAGGTATGATTCCCATCAGCAGAGTTATCCCAATTTCCATTGCCTCCAGTTTAGCTACAGTTTCATGAAGGCACACTCAGTGAAAGGCAGCCTTGATGTCAAAGACAGTCACTGCCAGCTCACCTCTGTAATTCAGCTCTCCTGTCCATGTTTCTACCAAGGCAGTAATGAAGTCAGGAGCTGGGTGACCCTGGTGGAACCCAAACTGGGCATCAGCAAGCAGGTTATTACATAGCAAGTGCTGCTTGATAGTACCATTGATGATACCTTCCATCACTTTATTGATGGCTGATGGGGTGGTTGTTCAGGTTGGATTTGGCCTATTTGCTATGTACAGGACATTCCTCAGCAAATTTCCACATCATCAAGTAAATGACTGTTGTAGCTATACAGGAGGCCTGGCCGGGACAGGCATAATTCTATAGCAAAGTCTTCTATACTACTACTGGAACATTGTCAGGGCTCCTGGCCTTTCAAGTGTCCAATCTTTCAGCCAATGCTTGATATCATGTGCGGTAAATCAAATTGGCTGAAGACTGGCAGCTGTGATGCTTGGTGATCTCTGGAGGAAACTGAGATGGATCAGCTACTCCATAATTCTGACTGAAAATTATTGAAAATCCTTCAGTCTTATCTTATGCACTAAAGTGTTGGGCTCTCCCATTATCAAGGATGAGAATATATGCGAAGCCTCCTCCTCCACCATTCATAACTATTTGGGGCAGGACTGCAGACCTTAGATCTGATCCATTGGTTGTGGAATCTCTTAATTCTGTCTATCTCCTGGTGCTTTTGCTGTCTGGCACACAAGTAGTTATATGTTGTAGGTTAACTAGGTTGGATCTTACATTTAAGTCTGCCTGATGATATTCCTGGAATGCTCTTCTGCATTCTTCATAGAACCAGGATTGATCAGCTTGATAGGTATATGATGGGCCCTGAGGCTGTGTATTATGTTTTACTACAATTCTGCAGCTGCCACCCATCATGTCTCACAGCTCCTCGCTTTGAGTTGCTAGATGTTTTCAATCACACAACATGATGGATGATATCCTCAGTGAGACGATGGGCCTTCATCTCCACAAAGACAGTGCTGTGGCCACTTCTACCAATGCTGTATTGGACAGGCGTGTCTGTGGCAGGTGTATTACTGAGGATGAGGTTAAGTATCCTTTTCCCTCTTATTGGCTCTTACATCACCTGCTGAAGATACAGTCTAGAACATATGTCCTCAGAACCAGGCCAATTCTGCCAGTACTAGGGCTGCTGCACCACTCTTGGTGAAGAACATTTAAATCCCTCACTTCTTCGAAATCAGGATCCCCTTTAAAACTGAGTTATTTGCGTATTCCATTTTATTTCCTATGTAACATGGAATTTCATTTAACTGTGTAAGAGCGGTAACTATAAACAAAATATTTATCAGGACCCACACTGCTGTATTATTAACACAGTGTTTGGAAGAATTAGGACATTTTTGCTCTTAGAAGGAATGAAATTTAACCTTCAAATGGAGGTGGGAAAGGGGACAATGGCCATCTTGGCATTATGAGTAGCTGCCCATGAACATTGGCCGAGAGGGTTTAGACATGTGGATACAGCACAGATTGTCAGCCCCAAAATAAGGTATATCAACAGGGATCGGCGGGAGAGACAGGATGAGAGGATGAAGAGGATTGAGCCACCATCTTCTTGGGCAAACATCAGGAGTGCCCATACATCAGACCAAGGGAGAAGCAAAGACTGTTACTACCAAATACTACCACTAACATCATCACAACATCAACGATGAACATGCTGGTACTCTAAAAACTCTGCCCCTGCTCCTCCATTCTACAGGATAGCTTTAGGATCGCTAAAGGTGAAGCATTCTTAGCTGTATACTCCCTTGTTAGCAGCCTACCTAGCAGTTAATGCTGTTTCAGCTTATTATCAGCTCTGAGCTGAAAGGGAGGGATTATACAATGAATGGTAAAATCCAGTAAGGTCCTGAAGATCAGAGGTCCTTGGTTTGCATATCCACAAATTGCTGAAAGTAGCAGGGCAGGCAGAAAAGATAGTTAAGAAGGCACATGGGATATCTGTCTTTATTAACTAAGGGTCACCGGACCCGAAACGTTAGCTCTGTTTTATCCTTCACAGATGCTATCAGACCTGCTGAGCTTTTCCAACAACTTTGTTTTTGTTGTTGTTGTTTATTAACTAAGGTACAGAATACGAGAAGGAAGGTTATGCTGGAAGTGCATAAAATGAGGGTTAGGCCACAACTGGAGTATTGAGTGCAGCTCTGGTACATTATAGGAAAGATGTGATTGCACTAGAGGGTCAGAAGAAATTTATTAAGATAATACCTGGACAGGAGGTTCTGAGCTATGAGCAAAAATATAACAGGTTGGTATTGTTTTGCTTGGAGCAGCGAAGATTGAGAAGGAATCTGATATAGGCATTTAGCATTATGAGGGGCATGGATACGGTGGATAGGAGGGCACTCTTCCCATTAGTAGACAGGTCAATAACATGGGGATATAAATTTAAGTTAAGAGATAAAGACTAAGACAGAATTGAGGAGAACTGTTTTCACCCATAGGGTGTTTGGAGTCTGGAATTCATTGTCTGAAAAAGTGGTCGAGTTAGAGATTCTTGTAATATTTAAGCAGTAATTAGATATTCACTTGTGTTGTCTCTACAGCAATGGGCCAAGAGTTGGAAAATAGGACTTGTATCGTCAGATTTTTGTTGACCAGCTTGAACATGATGTGCCAATGGCATCTTACTGTGCTATAAACGTCTGCAAGTTGCACACAGGCCTTGTTGCTTAATAAATACTGTGTTTCTGTGGCTGTGGGAAAAAATTTTAAAGGGAATTGCACCAAAAAAAATGCATTTTAAAAGGAACATTGATTGTAAGAGGGCATAAAGACAGAAAAAAGATTTGAAGCTTAGGAAGATTTTGAACACATAAGGATTGGAAAATCAAGGTGTGGCAACATCAGCAGCTAGTGTAAATCAGCAGGCACCTCTAGACGAAAGGGAACAATTCAGCAGCTGAGTGAGTGGCTGCAGGCAGTGTTTTAATATGAATTTGGTAAGTGCCCTCCTACTCCTCTTGCCTCCAAATTTAAAAAAAAGTCTAACTTTTCAGTCTTCAGAGCTTCCATTTAAGAATTGCAAGTTTGACTGCTTTGACCCTGAGAAAACTAACCAAAGTATGTAAGATGTGTCAAATAAAGATAAATTTTGCAAAGGTGGGGTTATGATGCTGCTTGGCCTGCTGTGTTCATCCAGCCCTGCACCTTGTTGTCTCTTAAATTTTGCAAAGGAGCCTGAAACTGGCATTAGACCCAAACTGAATAAGGCTCATGGTAGTTTCATATAAGTGTGCAATTCCAGTGTGGAGTATGAACATGTATGCTCATGCTACATCCTGGCACCTGTTCGGCACTATAAAACAGCCATTACAATTGAATTTATGGGTTTCAGGCAAATCTACACTTGTAGGTAACAAATTAAATCAAAAATAAGAAAAAAGAATTCAGGATCAACAGGCAACAGATATAAAAACCATTTCTGAGGAAGGGTCACCGGACCCGAAACGTTAACTCTGTTTTCTCCTCCACAGATGCTGCCGGACCTGCTGAGCTTTTCCAGCAACTTAGTTTTTGTGGCAACAGAGATATTATTGGGTAGGAATTTAAATAGCAATAAAGAAGTGGTGAAGGTTTATTTTGTGAATGCACATCAGATATCTGGGAAACTTTGGAAATTAGACAGTGGAGGTAAGCAAGGCACAAAAAGTTTACAATTACATTTAAATAGAACAAAAACACATAAATCTGCTTGTTAATAGTTAAAGCAAGGTGACATAAAAGTGAAGTGTTCTATTTGTGTATTCTGAATAAATTATTATTATTATAAAAATGTTTTTCCATACCTTTCACTTTAAGCAAAGCTGTGGTCTGTTGATCACCTGAATCACACATATATTCTCCAGCATCTTCTTGTTTCAGATTGCAGATTGACAGTTCAGCAATAGAACCCACTTGCTTTATTTCATACTTATCACTGGGATGAAGCACCATAATCCCCTTTCTCCACTCTATAGGAGCATCAGGCTTAGTAAGCTCACACCGTAGTGTAGTGGTGCTACCTTCATCAGCTTCCTTGTTCTGAAGAGCTTGTTTGAAAAGTACCGGAAGGGCTAGCAGGGCAAAATTGTAATGCATTTACAATAAAAACAAAAGAAAATATTAAGCTTTTATACAAATACTGAACTTTTATATTTATTTGACTTACAAGATTTAAAATTTACATCTTCTGAAGTTTTAAAAATTATTTATAATTAGAAACAAATTATTTAAATGATTTAGTCTTCCCCATACCTATACATTTTTTCCAGGGCTATATATTTATGAGTTTATACTTGTGAATGCATTATCACTTCATCATGATATGGAGAATACAAAATGAAAGTTATCTGTTAAGAAAAGATGACCTACAGCACAGACCAAAACAGTAAGTTAAGTGTTATGCAGTTGTAAATCAAAAGCAAATAATATAAAATGTTACATGCCATGTCCAACTGGGAAGGACATCTCAGTGCTTGTTTGTACAGCAACACTTACGAAATTTATGTTTTTGAGGTATTAGAGGTTGAACTATAATAAACAATTAATTACAGAGTGCGAGTTCTGAAAAGATCTGTCTCACGCATGAAGTGATTAGCTAAAACTGGCTTGGTGGATATTAAAATGTATCTGAGGGAGTCAGAAAATGATTATTTATTTCATCCTTTGCTGTGTTTTTTTTAGTTACAATGCTCATGTAGCTAATCGAATTAAGCCTCTAGTCAACAATGACCTCAGGAATATAGATAGGTTACGGTCTCATTTAATGCTGGTACCTCTAAAGGCCAGGATTAGATGGATGAGCCTTTGCATGCTGGAGACTGTCATTATCATTCATGTATTATGATGTTATTTGGCATCAATAAGTGACGTAGGTTGGGCAAGGATTTCTCAATGGTGCTGCAAGGTGTAATCTTACCAGTGAACAACTCAGCTCTTTACCCAGAAAAAGAAAGATAAAGCAGCTAAAGATGGTTGGGTCAAGGACACTTCCCTGAAAAATGAAAAGTGGCCACGTCCTAAGGCTTTGATGACTGATCCTCAAAAACCACATCCATCGTCCTGTGTGAGTCCAGCTGCTGCAGCATTTTCTCCCTAACTCCCATTAACCATTGTTATTCTGTGGGTCCTGACTGCTATGTTAATCTAATGTTACTTTTATCTTAAAAGTATGAAATCTTACATTTCTATCCTTGCTTTTGGCATTTGGCTCTTGCAACCATATTTGGCTCAAGGCCTTGAGAAGACCTGAAACAAACTAGTTTAGGTGGTACTCACAATAAGTATCAGTGTATATGTTTTGATGAGTTATTTGGACTGGATAAGTAGGATCTGGGATAATAAAGAATAATAAATAATTCATCAGATATTTACATATGCAATTTTAAAATGGAAACTTCTAGAAACACCAAATGCTAGGATCATGCTATGAAAGTTACAGATATGTGCTACAGGGCAAATATATGCAATTGTTAAATGCATTGTGTCAAAAACTGGAGCCTGAGAAATGTTCAGAATGCTACTGACTGAAATAGCCTTTAACTTTTCCTAATCCTTCTTCCCTGTAACACTGTTGACACGAACAAGTTCACGTGATCATATACTTGGTGAAACTGCTTTGACAGACTGGGACTGCCATAGTGTTAAGGGCTTAGATGGTGAGGAATTTGTTAAACGTATTCAAGAAAATTTTCTTCATCAATATGTAGATGTACCTAGTAGCAAAGGAGCAAAACTTGACCTTCTCTTGGGAAATAAGTTGGGGCAAGTGACTGAGGTGTTAGCGGAAGTGTCTTTTGGGACCAGTGATTGGTTTTAAAATAGTTATGGAAGGGATTGGCCTTGTAAAAAAAGCTAAAGGTATTAATTGGAGTAAGGCAAATTTCGATGGTATGAGACAATAACTTTGAAAAGTTGATTGGAGTTGACTGTTCACAGGTAAAGGGATGACTGGCAAGTAGGAGGCTTTCAAAAGTGAGATAACAAGAGTTCAGAGGCAGTAAGTTAGAGCAAAGGGTAAGGCTGGTAATTGTAGGGAACAATGGATGAATAAAGGCATCGAGGCTCTGGTCAAGAATAAGAAGGAGGCATATGTTAGGTGTAGAAAACTGAGATCAAGTGAATGTCTTGAAGAGTATAAGGGGTAAGGGAAATTGGGAAGGCAAAAAGGAGGTATGAGATAGTCTTGGCGGATAATGTTAAGGATAATCCAAAGATGTTCCACAAGTACATCAAGAGCAAAAGAACAACTAGGGAGAGCACAGTCGACAGTGAAGAAAGTTATCTAAGATTACAAAGGGAACTTGATCAATTGGGCCAGTGGACTGAGGAGTGGTAGGTCAACAAGGTTGTTTATGTTTGGAACCACAGAAGATGGGAAAGATACTACATCAATATTTCACATCAGTTTTTACTGTGGAGAAAGAAGTGTAGGCTAGAGAACTTAGGAAATAAATATTGATGTCTTGAAAACAGTCCACATTGCAGAAGAGGAGGTGCTGGAGGTCTTAAAAAACATAAAGGTAGATAATTCTCTGGTACCTGATCAATCGTATCCCAGGATGTTGTGAGAAGCTAGGGAAGAAATTGCAGGGCCTCTAACAGAGATAGTTGTATCATGCACAGCCACAGGTGAGCTGCCAGAGGACTGGAGGGTGGTTAAGGCTGTGCTTTATTTAAGAAAAGCTGTAAGGAGAAGCCTAGGAACTATTGACCTGTGAGTCTGACATCAGCTTCAAATAATGCTGATCTTGCTAATGTTGATCTTGCCTAGCGTAGCCCCTGTGCGACATAACCCGTATGCCTCTATCTAAGTCTTTCTTTTTCCACCGTATGATCTATATGTCCTTGCTTACTATGATCTGTCTGTATGGCTTGTAAACAAAGCTTTTCACAGTACTGAAGTACACATGACAATAAATAAATCAAATCAAATTAGTGGTGGGTAAGTTGTTAGAGGGGATTCTAAGAGATAGGATTTACATGCATTAGAAGAGGCAGGAACTAATTAGGGATAGTCAGCATAGCTTTAGCAAGGAAAGTCATGTCTCACAAACTTGATTGAGTTTTTTGAGGACATAACCAAAAAGATAGAAGAGGGCAGAGCAGTAGACATTGCCTGCATGGACTTTAGTAAAGCCTTTGACAAGGTTCCACATGGTAGACTGATTAGCAAATTTAGATCAAATAGGATTCAAGGAGATCTTGTCAACTGGACACAAAATTGGCTTGACAGTAGAAGACAGAGGGTGATGGTAGAGGGTTGTTTTTCAGACTGGAGACCTGTCACCAGCAGTGTTCCGCAAGGATTGGTACTCGGTACATTGTTGGTTGTCATTTATATAAATGATTTAGATGAGAATTTGGGAGGCATGGTTAATAAGTTTACAGATGACACCAAAATTAGTGGCATAGTCGACAGTAAAGAAGGTTATCGAAGATTACAAAGGGATCTTAATCAACTGGGCTAATGGACTAAGGACTGGCTGATGGAGTTAAATTTGGATAAATGCGAGGTATTGCATTTTGGTAAAATGAACAAAGACAGGATTCATACAATTGATGGTAGTGACCTAGATAGCATTGTCAAACAATGAGACATAGGGATCCATGTACATAGTACTTTGAAAGTTGCATCAAAGATAGACAGGTTGGTTCAGACAGCATTTAATACACTTGCCTCCATTGCTAAGACCACTGAGAATAGGAGTTGGAAAGTCTTATTGAGGTTGTACAAGACATTGGTTAGGCCACTTTTTGAGTATTGTGAACAGCTCAGGTCGCCATGCTATAGGAAGGATATTATTAAATTGGAGAGGGTTCAGAAAAGATTTACCAGGATGCTTCCAGGACTGGAGGGTTTGAGTCATAAAGAGAGGCTGGATAGGCTGGGACTTTTTTCACTGGAGCGCAGGCGATTGAGGCGTAACCTTACAGAGACTTATAAAATCATGACAGGCGTAGATAAGGTGAATAGCAAAAGTCATTTCCCTAGGGTGGGCCATTTCAAAACTAGAGGGCATATATTTAAGGTTAGAGTAGAAAGATTTTAAAGGGACCTGACGGACAGCCTTTTCACACAGAGGGTGGTTCATATGCAGAATGAACTGCCAGAGGAACTGGTAGATACAGGTACAGTTACAACATTTAAATGACATTCAGTCAGGTACATGAAAAGGAAAGGTTTACAGGATATGGACCAAATGCAGGCAAATGGGACGAGTTTAGTTTGGGAAACTTGGTTGGCATGGACAAGTTAGACCGAAAGGTCTATTTCTCTGTTATATGACTCTAGAACTCTATGACTCAAAATAGGAAACAAATATATGTCAAGATTGGTTAAAACAGTCTACATGACTGACATGGCCAAGAAATTCTGTAAGCTAACATTATTTCAGAATCATATCCTGCATGCCCTCTAAAAGATACCCAGCAGAGTGCGTAGGATCAGTTTGTACCCAATGGTCTCGGAGAAAATAAGAAACTATCTATGCATGTGATCCAGAATCACATCCCTCCTCCAACGTCCTGGTCTACAAACCCTTAAGTGAATGGTGCGATTATCATCATAGAATCCCTACAGTGTGGAAACAGGCCCTTCGGCCCAACAAGTCCATACTGAACCTCAGAGCATCCCACCCAGACCCATCCCCCTATAACCCACCTAATCTACACCTCCCTGAACACTATGGGCAATTTAGCATAGCCAATTCACCTAACCTGCACATCTTTAGACTGTGGGAGGAAACCCACACAGACACAGGGAGAATGTGCAAACTTCACACAGACAGTCACCTGAGGCTGGAATTGAACCCGGGTCCCTAGTGCTGTGAGGCAGCAGTGCTAACCACCGTGCCACCCCCAGATCAGATCCTTATTAACACATGGCTAACAACAGATCAAGTTTATCACCTTGAAACAAGCTTTTTGGTATATAAAAACATACACATTATACAGAAAGCCAATCCATTTCATTTATTAGAACTCCTTAATGGGGCCTATTAACCCTCGTTTGTAGATCAGTGTGCCTCAATTCACTCAATATATTTGCCTTCACCACAATAATAGTCTGAGA